AAAGCATTCAGGCTTGTAGTTTTCAAGAAGAAGTCGAAAAAGTAAAACATTGACACGGACGATGATGGACAATCACTCATATGATAAGCTCAGCTCGACAAAGTCAACAGCGGAGCTAAAAAGGTGACAGAATCATCATAATAGTCATTGACAGTGAACTTTTCTATTGCCTTTTTAACATGGAATAGTTCCATAATAGACTATTTTAGAATTTTTCAGCCCAAAAGACAATGACCTGTGTCTAAACCAAAATTAAAAAAAACAAAAACATGATAATTTTTACTTGCTGCAACCATGCCATATGTAAGTTATAATTTTTTTTGCTCAAATATACTGTAAGTATTAAAACCAACATATGTAACACTTGACATAATGGTTTAATTTTTTTGTTTCACAGTAAAATTTATAAAACTGCCATGAAAGGTATACTGTGGTTGATTTAGTGAAATCATTCAAATGCTACCAAAGACACTTCTATCCAGTCTATGGTGATACTTTTTACTAGCATCACAAGGATATGCATATCTCAAACTGTGTAATGAAGTTTGTGACAATTTGCACATATGTCCTTTGATAATCTTCATGAATACACCAATAGGACAAAATGTAAAAGCAATTGATAGGTATGTCATATAAATTATAACCACCAAAAAGTATTCTTGAAAACAAAAATACAGTCAGTATTGTAGCACGCACAGATGTGCATAATATCAGTAAAACATTTGTGTACTTACCGGTATAATTATAGTATTTCCAGATTTAAGACATACTGATCCTGATATATATTCTAATTCATATTCATCACCACCCTGATTAATACATCCAGATATAGCATTAGTGAAGGCTTGTTGAATTTCTGACATTTTATACATACACACTGTAGATTGTTGTAATGGTATTAAATCCTGTGGTGTTTCTCCTCTGGCAAACACAGCAAATAGAACTTGTTCACCATCCTCCAATGATAGTGATGTAGCTAGATCTGATGCTGGTCTCATGACATGGGCTGCTTGTAGTAGATTATATGACACATCATCATGGCCATTACACTGTAAGGTTACTTCAGTGTAAGAGTCATAGTGGTAGTCATTCCTTTCTTGGCATACACGTACAATTCTAGATATGTATGGATTATCAGACATACCGAATTTTTGTACAGTCAAAAAGTAACTAAATCCTTCATAGCCAAAACCTGTAATGTACTTCAAAAAGCCTGGTCCAGAAAGAAAAGCGTTATCTATATTTACTGCAGTTTCACTATTGTGTTGAACAACTGTACTAAAAAGGTTATCTTTGAGTTTTCTTCCACTCACAACTTCACCCCCATAATTAGTATATCCTCTTCTTGATGTACCAACATACAACATAGGTTTATCATCATAACCAGGTGCTACAAATCCCACAGTAGAGTCTTCCACAGTAGGTGCAGCAACATATACATTACTGTCACCCAACACTGATAAATCACCCAAGTTTCTTATCTGACAATGTCCATTGTCACTGCCACATGTTACCAGATTATTGTCGTCATAGTTAATTGATAATACCTTATTATAGTTATCAGTTCCATCATCAGGTTTAGTTGTTATATTATAGATGAGTTGTAAATCTTCATCCAACCTGTAGATGTAATCAACACCACCAATGTATATGTCACCAGTGATGTTATGTACAGTCATGTGATTAAATACAAAAGAATAAAGAGTAAAATTTGCAACTTCAGCATAATTAGTGGCAAATGAGAAGGTAAGTATGAGAAGGAAGAAAGAAAACTGGCTGGACATGGTTCCAAATGATGATTGGTACTTCATTTCTTACACTGAGAAATACATGTATCACCTGTAAGGAAAAACAGATTCAATTTATTGATTTTAAAAATGATACACAATGCTGCAAATGTAGGTATGTGGCAATCCACAATAGTGTGACTCTCATTGCAAAACACTATGTTATTAAAGTCATAAACCTAATGTCCATTTATATTTAGCTGAATTTATATTTGAGGACATAAAATAGAAGAGGATATCAAATGACTTTCAACAAAACTAAATTGGCATGCATATTAAATCCATAACATGTACGTCTTGTCTTTGTACCAAAGGACACATGGGAAAAATGAATAGCAGTCCTCCATTTTGATCCAAACTACATGTATTATACAAAATGAAGTGTACATGTATCAGTAACTCACCATAAGTGATGTCAATGCCAAATTTATACGAAATTGGTCCTGGCACACATAAGAAACATTTTGTGACATGTTGAAAAGTTTTGGTGTGTTCTATAGACAAAATAACCACCAATTGGATAATCATAATTATGTATTCCATTATGCCATCTTCTAAATTTAAACCTATTATCTTTTTGTAAAAAGTTAATATAGTGCATAATATGGAGATCCCTTCATTTCTTTTTTTCACAATGTTTCTTTTTGATTATTTATATGTATTTATGTATGCTAAATCTTGCTAAGCAGAGAGAATGTTTGCACCTGTTATCCAGATTTTAAAATCGTTTTTTTAAGAAGGTTCCACTATTCACAATTCTACAAAATTTTAATAGTCTATAGCCAAAACTGTTTGGATAATAAAAAGCAAAAAAAAACAAGTCATTGTCAATGACACGTCCCCGTTCCGTTCATATTTGAGTGACATATACATTCAAAGCAGATCATGACCGAAATGCACCTGCATATGTACAACACATTGTGCTAAATCTGAACAAAATCCATCCATGCATGACTGAGATCCGGTTCTGGAATTGTGAAAATATGTGATTTTGATGCATTTTCGGCCTTAAAATGGCCATCATTCCGCTATTGTTAAGCAGATCATGAAACAAAGGCACATATCTATTTGTGACATGATGTACCATGTGTGTGTGAAGTTAGAACTTGATCAATC